GAAGAAAGAAGCTTCCTAAAAAGGCAATTTTCTACGGATGGAGATGTTGTGGGAAAGAGTTTTTTTTTTTTTTTTAATAACAATATATAATTTATATTATATATAATCTATTAATATTAAATTAAAAAAAATATTTTACAAAAATATTTTATATAAATTTTTTAATATTGTTAAAGAATTAATATTTATTTTTAAATTAATTAATTTATTATATAATCAAATGATCAATGGTTAGTGATTGCTTAATATTATTTAAATTTAAATAAATTGTTTATTTTTATTTTTTATAATCACATATTTTTAATTAGTTATTACGTATATTTGTTTTTCAAGATATTCATCGTATATATATTTTTTTTAAAAAAAAAAGATAGTTACAAATAAAAAAATTTTTAAAAAAATTAATTTTATGCAATAAACTGTATATTATTTGAAATCACATATAAATAAATAACGGATTTTATTTAAAATATAATTCATAATAATTTTTGTTTAAATCTTTAAAAATATAAATATCACGTATTCATTTATGCGAGACATTTTTGGTATTGTTAAAATTAACTAATTTGTGTAATAGGTTAAACGTTTAATGCGTATCAATGCATATGCTCCACGCCGTTTTTAGAAACTCTATGAGAAATAATTATTGTTATACAACCGATTGTAGAGTACGACATTTACCAAAAATATTCATTGTTATATTACATACGTGCATACAATCGATCATTGAAACCTGAGAAACATCAAGAATATCATTATTACAACCAACCGCAATAGGTAAGCGGACTGGGTGTGGCTTCACATATGATCGCTAAGCCCTGTATAAAAATGCTAAAACTTGATAATAAGACCGAAAACTCGATCAATATCATCTGAACAATTTGAAAACGAATCCAGTGGCTCTGCAGGAAATCGAGGAAGTTTCTCTGAATACCATCCTGATCAATAACAAGGCAATTTGGGTAATTTGATAAGAATGATAATTACTCTTGAATGATGAATCCGAAGTTTAATGAGAACTATGAGTCGACAAGAAAAGTGAAGATTTGACAGGAAAACACTGGTTAAAGTCTATGGACAATACTTTTTTTCTGTCCTGTTTGACTATAGGCATTAGTGACTTCGTTAGCTACGGAGAAAAAAATTTATTGAGTCAAATTAGTATATAAGGAAGGGCATTTTCTCCTCAAAGTCACCACCAACAACGAACAAAAACTCAAAAAACAAACAAATAAACCAACCAAACCAACCAACAAAAAAAAATCAGCCATGAAATTCACTCAAATCCTCAGCTTGTTCTTCGTCCTCGCTTTGTTGAGCGCTGTAGTAATCGCCAACCCTGAAGCCCACCCTGAAGCCAACCCCGAACCATACGACTACTAGTATGTTTACCTATATAATTTCTTGCTTTTTCTACAGGATTCGATTACTAATCAACTCACTTTAATTCACTTACAAACAACAGTGACTACTACAAATACATCACCAAGACCGCCTACAAGACCATCACCGTCACCGTCAAGAAAGAGAAAGACCCCTACTACGGTTACTACAAGAACTAATTTCCCTTTTCCCCAAATCTTTTTTATATATATTAATGGTGTACATAATTATTTAAATTTCGTGAAATTTTCCAAAGGTTAAATTCAAATAATAATGTTATTACGTTTAATTTTTCGCAGCTGTGATATAATTAATTTAATGTTCTTAATGGACAATTAATTTAATAAAGAATCAATAATTTTTAATTCGGTTTTATAAATTTAAATGGAGTTTCGATATTAATTTAAAAAATGATTACTTCACCAATCTGCGTTGTCAGTGTCCGTTGTCTACGCCAAAATCAATAATGTTGGCGTCAAACAACCTTATAATTTTGAAATATATTTGTTTGAAATTTGAGAATTAAATAAACTCTAGATTTCGATTTAAAATAGTTTTCTGAATAAAGATTTCGTTCTCTGTTTTATTGTCTGATATAATTTATTGATTACAGCAAAAAAGAATTCATTCTGTCAAATTTTGTATGTATATTATGATACGTGAGTATATCATAAAAACGTGTTTGACTATAAGAAAGTTTTATTGAAATTGTATTTCGCTTGACTTACGTAAGATAGTTTACTTTTCGAGAATTTTTTTTCGAATGAATTTTTATAAACAGTCGAATTCAATAGTTAAATTTAAAATATTTTAGTTCAATTATTTAATAATTTAATGTTAAATTAATATATATCGAGCATATAAAATTAAAAAAACTGCGCGCTAGATTGTAACAAATTATAATATATTAATATACAGTTTGGGACAAAAAAACTGGCACTCAATTTTTTTTATTAAAATTAATAATTTTTTTTATTAAATAATTTTT